CACCCCATAGGGTAGAAAACCAGCAACTGTAAGAATACAGTCAGGCTTTGATGCCTACCTGCCACACTGTTCTCAGGCACGCTTGCTTCGTAGAAGCTCTGACTAAATGAAATCTCCTCCTCTTTTTCCTCTGTGAAGAGAGCTACCATAGCTGTGGCTGTTCGAGGGGAGATACCTTGATCCACAGCCATCACTAGCAGTTGGGTACTGAAGTCTTTGGAAACCAAGGGCTCTTGAAGGATGATGTCACCTGTATGCCTGTCAATCTGAAATAGAGGTCCTGGTACGATCAAACTGAAAACAATAGATCCGTTCGGCCCCAGATCCACGTCCTCAGCTCTAACAGTGGCTACTGTCTCATTCACAGAGGTTTCAACAGGTACAAAGACTTTGATAGGATTCTGTAAAAACACCGGATCATTGTCATTTACATCTTCAACGTGCACCAGAACGCTGACAGTGGTGCTTCTTGGTAAATGGGGGCTGCAGTCACTTGCCACCACCCTAAATGTGTACACTGATTTGGTCTCCCGGTCCAATATCTGAGTAGTAACTATAGAACCAGTTACACTATCAATAGCAAATGCTCCAAAGGTGTCATCAATGACAGAGTACATAACTTCACCATTCAGCCCATCATCTTCATCAGAAGCAAAAAGTTCCATGACAGCTGAACCTTCTTGAAGATCTTCTCTCACAGAGATTTGATAGTGGTGCTTTGCAAATAATGGGTTGTTGTCATTTTCATCCAAGACTGTTATATATAACTGGGCAGTAGAGCTTCTTGGAGGGTTGCCCAGGTCATGGCACTCAATGACAAGAGTGAAATTGCTAATATCTTCTCTGTCTAAGCTACGAACGGCCAACAGTTTTCCTGAAGTACTATTTAGTGTGAAGTATTCTCCAGCGTTTCCACCTTTCAAACACATAGAACATAAAATGATCAAAAACAATTGCAATTGAAAAAGAAATCCCTTGTGACCACCACTACATTAATTGCAAGGAAATGATCCAATTGCTAGTACCGCTGTGCAGGCATATGCCTTTAGCATATTTTTTTCTTTATAAAGATTAAAGCCTGCATTTCATTTAAATCAGTGAGCAACAAAGATAGTAAATACAGAATGCCATATCAATTTACAGAGCAGCTATTTCACCAGATGCATGTCTTTTCTCCCAAAGCAGCACACCTTATAAAATCTCCTGCAGCTCTGCTGCTGCACTAAGTGACCTCTTCCCAACCTTAGTTACAAATTCCAGAAACCGATGAAGCATCACTGACAAATGTAATCACTTGCCCCTTGCTCTGTTCTACAGATCTGTCTCTAGGAAGAAAATGATAGTGTGAGGTCTTGATTTGGGAGAGTAAAAATAGGCAAAGGTAAACCTCTGAAGCTGCTGCTAGAAGAAAAGCCAGCGCTTTTAGTACCAGTGAATGGTATACATTCTTTACAACATTAGAAAGAACATCAAATTAAAGACCATAAAAGATCATGAAAATAAAATCAGGGAAACAAAGCAATTCATAACTGCTTCTTCAAAGAAAAAAAAAAAGTTGACTGTTACCACATCAGCCATCTGCCTACATTTGAACTATTGCTGACAGCCCCAAACCAAAGCAAGCACAGCCAGCTTGCATTTGTGCAAAGATACAGCAGGAAGCCTTGAACAGCTGTGGAGCTCACCTTGGCACAGCAGACATCGGGAGAGGTTAGCAATTTGGGAAGTAAGTCTGACTTTACTAATTGCTGGGTGAAAGAAGCTTTCATGAAACAAAAAGTCCACTTAGATGCATTTTTCTGCTTATTTGAAAAGCTTCAGAAGGTACCTTTACATCCAGAATTGCTACCACTATGACAGAAGGGACAAAATTATGCCCTTTTCGTAACTGCCTCTTTCTAGCATTTGATGGTTTTTGTTTTTCTTTTCCATACTAGTCACAAATCAGAAAACAGACCAAAATTATGCCTGGAAAGTGCTTAATAGAGAGAAGGGTGTAAAAGTTTTGTAGTTTTTTTTCTTTTCTTCCACATGACGAAGAAAAGCAGATCTACAAGACGGCAGCCAGTCAGGTGAGGTAAAATGAAGCCTAGTTTAAATCTTGGAATTGTTTACATACTTCCTAATTTATATTAACTAGAATGATACATTACTTACCAATAATTTCATATCTTAGAGCTCCGTTATTGCCCTTATCCTCATCTACCGCCAAGACAGTGTGAACTATAGAAGGCTGTTGATTCTCTAGAATATAAATCTCAGAGACAGGAAAAAGAAATTTTGGAGAGTAATCATTTTCATCCAGTACTTTGCAGACAACTGTCACTGTGCTTGAAAGTGAAGGAGTTCCACTATCTCGAACCAAAACTAGGATTAATAAAAAGAAAGCATATTTTATACAATGCTTGTGGGCACAACGATGATGCTTTATAACATCAGAGTGTTTGTGTAACGCAAAAAGGACAAAGGTACTCACTATTACTAAAAGATTCACCACTTCTACCTAACTGAGATGACCCCAAGACAACATTGATAATGACACTACCAATTCTCACCTCCCATTTACAGGCCTTTAAAGATATTTCATATTGTTACCTTTAATATAGAAAGTCTCCTCAGTTTCCCTGTCCAGTGATATGGTTGTCACAATCTTTCCAGTGTCCGAGTTCATCCTGAAATTCCCATAACCACTTCCTGGTAAGATTTCATAGTGAAGCAAGGAATTCAGTCCTTAAAAACAGAAAGGAAGTCTTCGTGAAATATAGCCAAACTCCTCACATTCTATTATATATATTTGTCTCGCTCTCTTTTTTTCTACCTGGGAAATGTATTATGGATGAAATTATTCTACGGCTGTAACGAACTCTTCATTATCAATTATATGCAGTGCATGATTATTAGTCCTTCTGTTTCTCTCTAAGAAATAAGAGAAGTCTTAAAATCTTTCTTTCAAAGCTGTCTGCCTGTGCTGGGCAAGAAATGTGATTCTTTGGACCTGAATGCCCCCTCAGCAAGTTCACAGATCATACAAAACTAGAAGTGACTGATACACCAGATGATTGTGCCGTTATTCAGAAGGACCTCAACAGGCTGGAGAAACAAGCAGAGAGGAACTTTGTGTAGTTGAAAAAGGGAACTGCAAAGCAAAGAGCTACCAACATGATGAAGGGACTGGAGCATCTCGCATATGAGAACAGGCTGACAGGGCTAGGACTATTTAGGGCTGGAACTCTAGGAAGAGAAGACCTACTCTAGGGGACCCTACTTGAACAGGGAAGTTGGACTAGATCTCCAGAAATCCCTTCCAGCCCCAACTATTCTGTGATTCTTATACATTATGGATATTTCTTCCCTCTTTCTGGTAGTTTCAATATCCCTCTGAGGACAGTATAATGTCATCTCCATCACAAGTTACAGAGTAAGAACTTTCATGTTATTAAATTTAATGAATTTACGCATATGCTTGAAGAGCGACAAACATTCACCTTGTACCATTGTGCTCACTCATTTACAGATTTTCCTAAGTTCCATTCAATCACTTTTCTATGCTTTTTCAACTAACAATCAGCCTTTTAGTAGTGCAGGCACAGTTAGTGCACCTGGTGAACTACAGCACTCCCAGTAATACCCAAATTGTTATTTGGAGTTGAACACTGCATGCCTGTTCTCATTCACTGCACTGGAAAATAGGACCATCTACAACAGAGTCAATGGAGATACATCAGTATGAGAGAAGCAGCAGACCCTACAATTTTTAATGCCAATGACTGCCTTGTTTTCCTTTTGAATAATTTTGCTAACCAGTTCTCTATGACACTGAAATTTGATTAAAAAAATGCCTTTGTGTCTAAACTAATTCAGGGGCAGGATATATTCACAAAATAGTCGTAAAAAGATGTTTATACATAGGAAAAGGAAAATAAGTTACAGAAATCCTTCCAGCTTTCAAGAAGAAAGGAGAAAAATCATAGCAGCAAGGACAATAAAGGAGAACAATTTGCAAAATTTAAGGTTACTAACACACTCCACCCAATCCATCCATATTAGATACCACACAACTACACTTAAAAAAAAAATCTTGGCAGCTCTGTACGCACATACCTATCCTTAACTAGCCATATGCTACACATGGAGAAAAAAATACACGAAAGTTGGGATGAGATTACCTACTAGCCTTTGATCTACTGCCACTGAACAGCTTCAACTTTGTTCATCCACTGGCAGATTTCACAGTGGGCACTTTACAGCCAGCGCTGAACAAACCCACAGGTGCCATAAAGCTTGACTATTCACGCAGTGTTAAAGTGAAAACTTTTAACCCTTAATTCACACAGCTATGTGACACTAATTACATTTATCAAGCATTTACTGCTTCCTTTCTCATATTCGGCTGCTAGGAGTGTATGTCTAAGAACTGCACACCTTACCCTGCCCAAGAGAGGAGAGGGATGACTCCACAAACCACGAGTCTGGCATAGGAACTAACATGTTTACACTTAATTTGGCCTGCTGGTTTATTGAAAAATAGTGCTAGTTACCTTTGGGGGGCTGAAATAAGTCCCTTCTAAATTATCTATTCAGCTCCAGACAGAATGACAGATAATGCTCCAGAAAGAATGAGAAACGAGAACAGCCGCAGCTTAAAAGCTTAGTTCATTCTCTTCTGCAAAGAGACATCTCAAATCAGATCCTTGACCTAACTTAAATATTTCGTGGATACCTTTGTTTTTTATTTATATTTGTTCCCAGCGTTTACTTGTGTTACACACTTACATAGATTTGCATTGCACAGTTGCCTTTGGGCAGGTGAAAAGCTCCCATCCATGGCTGGAAGACTGAAAGTAAGCCGAGGCAGAGTTATAATAAGTGCAACTGTAGTAAGGTGTGAGTGGAGCAATTGGAACAGGATGTTTCATGGATATCTGTGTGAAAGTCAGTCATTGCAGGCAGAAAGAATAGCAGCGATTTCTACAGAAGACCCTTTAAAGTGGCAGCAATCTTAACGCTTTGCTCAAACGCAAAATAGATTATAACTGCTTGCCTTCCTTCTTCCCTTCATAGGAAATACATATGGTAGGCAAATAAATTAAACGATGATGATGGCTGCAACTGTCAGTAAAAATAATTCCTCCCTGTGGTCAGTCAAGGAACACAAGAAATAAGGAGAAAAAAAAAAAAAAAAGGCAATGAAGGGAAGAAAGCTCTCTACTGAGACCATGCAAATATTACTGGGATCCAAAGTGCATTTTTAAAAGTTAAAAAAAATGTAAAAATTGTGATGAAAAAATAAGAACAGCATGAGAGGAGTGTCTTAATTAAAAAAAAGAAACTCTCAAAAATATGAGTAGCATTATGTTTATATGTCTGCTATAAACACCCATCATCTTAAAATGTATCACTTTCAATATTTGTTGAAAATAATACTGCTGTAATTTATATACAACCTCAGGCCAAAACATTTAAATGTGAGAAAAAGCTCGAACAGAACGACTGCAGTTACAGAAAAGTAGGCAAAACTAGGAAAAAAAAATAAGGGGGGAAAAAAAGAGAGAAAAGGAAGGAACTATCAGCCACAATACTATTCCAGCCCAAAGGGGCTGCTCAGTGAGCCGCACACTGGCTAGAATCACTGCCACCTCTCATGCTTGGAATGCCCTTCTCTATCCTGCCAAGTCACTCCTGCTCTCTCCTCCTAATTGCTCCTAAAATTTCCTTTCTGCTGTATTTCCCACAAGATATGTAATAAATAAATACAAGGGATGGAGAAAGAAGGGAGAGGAATTCAAACAAATTCTTATTTCTTCTCTCTACCAACCTGCAGATTTTTATATGAAATATTTTGCCTTCCTTGTCATAATGTGATCTACAAAAGAAAGAAAATACTTGGAAGAGTGAGGTACAAGGGTAAATAGTAACACTGCTCAGCTGTCATGAAGATTTTCAGGCCTCAGCCCCAGACAGGGCTACCCACCCATTTTTATTTTCTAAATATTTTACATATTTGTGGGCAAATGTCTTTTCTGTGTAGCAACTCTGTTGAGCTGTGCATCCTATATCAGTCTTTTGCAATCAATACAAGCTGTATATTAAAATAGGAAATTTTACTGGACAGTGAAGATTATTTTCCTAACAAGATCTACTTTTTCGATAGCACAGCCCTAAGCTATTCTAAAAATGTGCAGAAAATGAACATACGGTAGTCATTGACATAGCTGAGATAAATTTTGTGTCAATCACAGTAAGTATTAATACTCAATTCTCTTTTCAGTTTTTATTATTACTGCAGACCACAGATTCTATATACCTGTTTCACGTTACACCAGTTGTACACACTGTGCTTAATATTACTGAAGTTAAGATCCTCTCCAATACATACACTACCTATAACACCATATGTATTTTAGATATTTCAAAAGGACAGGTAATTGAAAAACTGAAGGCAACGTTCTGTTATATAACAAATGTATAAACATTATACATTTTTATACATTGCCTGTGATTTAATGAAAATATGAACCATGCTTCTTCCTCATCCCTTTTGCATAACTTTGAAAAAACAATGCATTCACTTTTTAACGTATGTAAAACAATATTTACAAGCGAGAGTGGATTCTAGGATTCCTTTACAGCTGAACTACCTAGAAAACCTTGGATGACAGTGCCCCTCTCTGGTCAGAAAAGATTACTGCATATATGCAAATTCTCTCATAAAGCACAGATCTCTAGTAAACTATTTAAATAAAATATTTTGACTGAGAGAAACAATACATTTAAAATATTAACTTTCAATGAGCTGAACATTGCTTGCTCGTTTATAACAACAGTATTGTAGCTACATTAAATATGAGAGTATTGAGAGTATTTTCACATGAAACCTAAAATATGCTGTACTGCTCTGCATCATCTAAGCACGCAGGGCACAAGGCAGAAGACCTCTAAGCTTTGAAAAACGGTTGAAAATCTGAGACATGTTTTGAAACTTGGACTCATACGCTACCTCAGGAACAATCCAATGGCTGCATATTAGAACATTAGGGCAGCAAGACTTGATCGTTCTATTATGTCCATAATTAAGTTAACAGCAAAAGAACTGAAATTACCTGAATCTCTATCCACAGCTTCTACCATTACGACAAACTCCCCTGGATCTTGGTTTTCACAGACTGCAGTTTCATAAGTTTGCTTCAGAAATATTGGTCTCTCATCATTCACATCAAGAACAACTACAGTGAGAATCTGAGTTGCGGAGAGAGCTGGGATGCCATCATCAAGAGCCATAATTGCCAAATTGTAGCGTTCTTGAGTCTCACGGTCCAAAAGCAGTGACGTAGATAGCAGTCCTATTATAAACAATGGGAGCATTAACAAAGCATTCTACTCAAGGTTAGGATCCCAGGTGTTCCAGCATTCACAGGTCCAAGCACCATGGTGCACACTGTGCTGCTGCTACAAGGCTTCCACATCTTGGCGTCAGTCATTACCTCTTCCTCCCTAATTAGCCAAGAGATATTCATTTTGACAGTAGGGGAAATTGGAATTCATGAACCATACAAGCTAAATTCTAAGAGAGATTTCTTTCTATTTAATTCTTTCCCCAGAGGACTTTGCAAATACGGAGCAATGATTCACAACATACCCACTTGCAAATCAAATGTTGTCAAATGATCTGCTACAGGTAGAAGATACTCTCACTCTACTCTTGCTGTGAATCTGTATCTACAGGAAGAGGTATTCGTGATGTTTTACACTTTTACCTTTATTACTAGAGAAATAATATAGGTCTTGTTTTGGAAATCAGTTTTACAATTAGAAGCTCTACAGACCAAACCACAGACAGCAGTATCATGCAATGGAATTAAAAGAAAACCAAATAAAATTGCAAATATTATAAAAAGATTTGCATTCTTGTCCTGATGGTAAAATAGCTAACGAACTCAATCAGGAGTCAAGGAATTTGAGAGGCCTAAAGAATGAAATTTAATCAACACTTAGAATCTCCACAGACAATTTTGTTTCCAGACAAAACAATCCTTTGATATTGATTTTGTGTTTCCTAGCATATATACATATATCTATATGCTAACATAAATGTGTATACATATTTTAAGTAAATACTGCAAAAAAAAGGAACAATTTTGCAGCACACCCATTTCTCCCACATTATTTCACTATTGGAAGACACCTCAGTACATCTATACTGCACAGTACAGAGCCATGCAGACACTTCTGGGCTAACTTTCACTGAGCTTCCATAGTGAAAGCAGCACTGCCATGGGCACACAGTACACTACCCAAGATAACTAATCTGGAGGACAGTAGACAAATATTAATGAAATATCCCAATTCAATACTGCATTATACACACTTCCAGATACTACCATAGTAAGTGTAGCATGACAAATTATAGAGAGTAGAAGTTACAGTACCTGTGACCTTATCCAATATAAATGTTTCGTTTTCATTGCCTGAAAGAATATGATATGTTACTTGTCCGTTTTTTCCTTCATCTGGATCCCTTGCAGCTATGCGGTGAACAAGGAAGCCTGCTTCCACATTCTCCATGACATAGGAAAGAGGGGAAGATGTAAAAATAGGACTGTTGTCATTAATATCTAAAACAACAATTTTTGCAGTCAGGGAATCAAGTTTGCGATCAGTCAGATTTATTGCCTGGTCTATTGCAGACACTGTAAGAATCACAGAGCAAGTAATCTCTCTGTCAAGTGGAAATGCTGTGATCAACGTGCCATATGAAGGATGAATAAGAAATGGATTTTCACCCAAGCTATTCGTTTCCATGGAATATTTTATTTTACTGTTCAGAAAACTGCCATCTCCATCTTTTGCGTTGAATGTGTACACCAGAGTGCCAACAGGTACATTTTCCTCTATGCCAATCACTACAAAATCATCTTGAAAATGTGGAGAATGGTCATTTTGATCTTCTACATCAATACTTAGGAAAACAGTGGTATTCTGGGGAGGAGTATTCTCATAATCCTTTATAGTTACTTGCAAAAGAAAGTGTGAAGCTGTTTCATAGTCAAGTTCATTGGAAAGAAAAATATCTCCTGTCAAGCTATCTATTTCAAAATGAACATCATCTTCCTCAGCAATACTATAATGCAGTTTCTTATTGTTTATCAGATGATTATCAGACAACTTTATAAAACTCAGTACTTGTGCTGGCTTAAAATTTTCAGGTATGACAAAGTGCTTGAAGTCTTGAGAGAAGGCAGATCCACCTTTGAGAAGTGGGATTACCTGAAACAAAACCACAAAGACTGCAGTGATTTCCCATTGTTATTAGGAATACTGTAATGCAAATAATTTTCCCTTAACTGAGGCTTCAATCATTTATTTATTTGTGATTAAATAACTATTCTAATTATATCTTAAAGCAAATAAACAAACTGAACATGCTCTGTAAGAATTAACAAGTAAACTCATTACTCTTTTATTCCCACATTAGAGAGAAAAAAAAAGTATGAAGTTGTCTCCCACTCTGAATCTCAGGCATCCACAGACAGAAGTCTCCAGCAGTGCTATCTCTCTTCAACTCTTTTTTTTGCATACAACACCATCACAGGGCTCATAGAAGGAGATTTAACACAGAATTTATGGCACATTATCTGTATTAGCCAAACTGAACAAGTAGTTGATTTTGTTGATGGTTGTTTTAATCATTAAATAATTTAGTTTATTATAGATTGTTGTAACATTCTAAATGAATGTTTTAATTTGAATCTTATTCAGTTTGAACTGCATTTGCCTTGTGTTGATATAAGCATTTTTTCCAAACTACCTAAAATTCAGTGATATGAATGTAGCAGTTTCAGAGATAGTAAGCCTGCAATAAAGGTGTACAGAGAAGGCCTTGGCAAAATGGATCCACTGTAGTGTGCTGAACAGCAGATGGCTGGCTGCAGAAAAAGCACACACTGGATTTCACACTCACATGCACAGCAACCCTATGTAAACCAGCACCAAGGAATGAGATATCCTTATGGCGGTTTACAGAGAGGCAATTCAGAAAAAGGGAGTTATGTAGTAGAGAAAAAATAT